GTGGTGATGAATGGCCGAACAAGGAGCAATGGTCTCAAGTTACAGTGGGGGAGGTCTAGGTTGGATATTAGGAAAAACGATTTCCCCTGGAGGGTGGTGAAGCGCTGGGATGGGTTCCCTAGGGAGGGGGTGGAATCTCCATCCCTAGAGGTGTTTAAGTCTTGGCTTGACAAAGCCCTGGCTGGGTTGATTTAGTTGGGATTGGTCCTGCCTCGGGCAGGGGACTGGACTTGATGACTCCTGAGGTCTCTTCCAGCTCTGTGATTCTATGATTCTAATACAGTCTATAAAAATTGAACCGAGGAGCCAATCGTCAATAACAGGCTGTGCCGGCAGAGACTGGCCTGGTATGATCCATAATTAATGATATTTACATATTGGGTGCCATCTGTAGGCTTCAGAGTTAACACCTCATTGTGGTTAATGGGGGAAGCTCAGATCTCTCTCAGCACTGCTCTTGCAGTTTGTGGACCAATGAGGCTGGATGTTTCCGCGTCGCACTTTCAGATGCACTAGCCAACCATAAAAGTCAGGGTCATTTAGTTTCTGGAGAAAAAGATGGACCAGAGTGAGTGGAGTTTCTGAGCAAAGTGACTGGGAGGGAGTATGGCGGAGTGGTGTGCGCTCTCTGCTGCATACGGTGTATTATTATCAGCACAATGGGATCCTGAGCTATGGCTGGGGCTAATTTAAATAAATAATATAACCAAGCAGCAATGAGTTCCACAGGTTAATTCTGTACATGAGTGGAGTGGGGAGGTATCACCTTGCCTCTGTTTCAGATGCCTTTGTTTTTTCCATTTGCGATTAAGCCCCCGGGTTGCTCAGATATGAGTAAGAGGGTGTTGGCAGGAGGGTTGGTCCGAGCTATCTCAAGTGTACCAAAAGATAAATAAAATGGGATTGGATCCGATAGGCCTGGAGTCAGTGCCACAACTGGTTTCTGTTCTCTTCCCCTTTGTCCGCTAAGTGCTCGAAAAATGTTTGCTCGTGATATGATTTAGTTTCAGCCTCGTCAATGATTAACAGGGTGAGCGCTTGCCCTGCAGGGCTTCGCCAGGCACAGCTCAGACGGATACCGGGGTCTGGTCCGTCATTCCGTACCAGGTCACATGTGGTTGGGAGTAAAGGGGGGGGGCTTACAGGTGTGTGGGGATGGGGGGAGCAGGGCTGCTCGTTTGGCGAAATTTGGGTACCGCTGAGCCTGGGAAAATTCACCTCCGGCCCGGCAGCCTTGCCTCACTTTGTCCCACCTACACCTATGCCAAGGAATCGAAGGATTCTGGGATGCTCAGCCATGGGCGGCATGGTTGCCATGGCGTTGGGCTAGGCCTCTGCCCTGGGAGAAATCACCCAAGGGCCCCAGAGCAGTGAAGCATCTTCTGTCCACCTCCCCAGGGTGCCCCTGCCTCAGGGAACTGCACAGTGCAACACCCCCCATGGGGGGGGGGTATTAATACAGCCAGGGGGTTAATAGCAGGTGCCCCCTTTGTTCTGCTTGGGTTCTTGCCCTCCCCTCGTGCCTGCAGAAACCGGGTGCCTTCCAGTCAGGTCCTAAGTGATGTGACTCACCCACGGCACAAGTGCTTCCTCCGCTGTCCCTTTTTCACAACGAGGGATTATGCCGGAGAAGGCAAAGCAGAGCCAGTTTGGGAGGAGCTCTCCGCCCTAGGGCAGAATGGGACTGGCCCCCGAGGAAGCTCTGTCTCCTGCCCAGGCAAGCTCAATGTTTGTGGCAGAGAGATCCGCAGGCCATGAGGGGCAGAGACGTCAACCTCCATCCCCAGCCTAGAGCTTTTGGCACTTACATTTCTTCGCACCGTGCACAGTTAACCTGCGGAACTCCTTGCCAGAGGACGTGGTGAAGGCCAGGACTTGAACAAGGCACTGAATTCCTTAGTATCCACATAGGGCTGGTGTCAGGCAATACAGGGCCCTGTGTGACCGGGCTGTAAATTCCTAACTGAGAAGACAGAGACACCCTGGCCGGTCTGTTCCGCATGCAAAGCCTGCTCCTGAGGGTGCCGTGCCCTGGTGGGGGCATTCACCTCGCCCTGCCCAGGGACAAAGGCAGCTGGCAGGGAGGCGTGGTCCTGGCGTCCCTGCTGTGCCGTACGGGGCAGCCAGACAGGAAAATGCGTCCAGGACGCGGTGTGCCCTGCGTATGGGCTGGGGTGCGATAAACGGGCGACCTTCGAGAGCAGAGTTAACAGCCGAAGCCGCGCGACTTGCAGGAGCAAGGCGAGAACAGCGTTCAAGGACGCGAGGGCGGGCGTCATAGGCAGCGTGGCCTAGGGGTGATAGCTGGAGGGGGGTGGCATGCCAGGACGCCTGGGTTCTATTCCTGACTCAGAAATGAGACCCCCCCCCCCCCCTAGGAGTCAGAGCTGGGGGGGTGGGATGAGGCACCCTGATGCCTAGGTTCTATTCACACAGCTCTAGCAGGGCATGGCTAACAGGGCCGGCAGTGTTAATGTGGCAGTTGTAGGCAGTGTTGCCTAGGGGTTATAGCTGAAGAGAGGTGGGGAGTCAGGACTCCCGGGTGTAACAGGGCCGGCAGTGTTAATGTGGCAGTTGTAGGCAGTGTTGCCTAGGGGTTATAGCTGAAGAGAGGTGGGGAGTCAGGACTCCCGGGTGTAACAGGGCCGGCAGTGTTAATGTGGCAGTTGTAGGCAGTGTTGCCTAGGGGTTATAGCTGAAGAGAGGTGGGGAGTCAGGACTCCCGGGTGTAACAGGGCCGGCAGGTAACAGGGCCGGCAGTGTTAATGTGGCAGTTGTAGGCAGTGTTGCCTAGGGGTTATAGCTGAAGAGAGGTGGGGAGTCAGGACTCCCGGGTGTAACAGGGCCGGCAGTGTTAATGTGGCAGTTGTAGGCAGTGTTGCCTAGGGGTTATAGCTGAAGAGAGGTGGGGAGTCAGGACTCCCGGGTGTAACAGGGCCGGCAGAGTTAATGTGGCAGGTGTAGGCAGTGTTGCCTAGGGGTTATAGCTGAAGA